GAAGCCCTCGCTATGAAGCCGATCGGGGTAGAGGCGACTCCCCCGGCCGATGGGAGACAGAACAGGGTCGACGAGATGGATATAGGGACGACAGATACGAGAGATCGGACCGAGATGTATATAGGGACGAAAGATACGAGAGGTCGGGTCGAGATGGCTACAGAGGGAGTAGATATGAGAGAGGAGATCGGGACTGGGAACGACAAGATGGGTCGCGCGGACGGTTTGAGCGCGGGGGAGACGCGAGAGAGCAGCGCGACGAGTCGCGGGGATGGTACAACCGAGGAGACCGACGCGATGAGACACGAGGACGATATGACTCGGGGGACCGCCGGAATGATTCGTGAGGGCGGTATGAGCAAGGAGGGTCTAGAGGAGACCGGCGCAACGATTCGTGTGGTCGGAATGAGAGAGGGGGATATGGCGTCTCATCAGAACCGTATCCCAAGTCGCCTGACCCCAAGGCGGCCAGGAATTCGATCTCTACAGGCGCAGACGACAGGGCATCTACTCCCAGGAACTCGTGCGTCTACTATAGAGGAGAAGATCATATCAAGAGCGATTGCCCGGACCTCAAACGGGCAATAGATGAGGGACTTGTCGTGCTTGACGACCGCAAGTACGTCAAGTGGGCAGATGATCTGGGAGATGTATCGATGTTCCCTTCGATGAAGGAGAATGTCGAAGCAAGGAGAATAAAGACGAGTAAAGGAATGGAGTCGGTCAGGAGCCAGAGCATCAAGATAATCTTTGAGGGGGATATCGCGACCACACCCATAAGGGTGGCAGCCACCAAGCCGACAAGAGGGTCTACATCGAAGAAGACTGACACGGATTACGTGATGACGGAGAAGGACGGGCAGCGGGTCGATGGAGAGGAGGTTATCCTTTCGCCGCGAAAGAGAGGAGTGAAAAAATTCTTAATGAAGAGTTCGTTGGACGAGATTGACACGGTTGAGCCACTGAGGCTGGCTCTTCGACAACCAATGCAGTGCTCTATTCTGGAGTACCTGGCGGCATCGAAGCCGGCTTGTGATGAATTACAGATGATCACGCGGAAGACTCGCATACCTCTATCCGAGGAGGGTCAGGGGGCCCCTAAAGCGGAAGCTTCTACAGTAGCGGTAACGGGGGTGACTGCCAGAGCGGATCGCATGGTGACAGTCCTTCTCGATGGGATGGAAGGTGTGCCTCCAGACAAGTTTTATATACTTGGTAGCGGGGCCRTGGAGACGATTATAAACGATGGAGCGATACTCGATGCTGTGATTGATAACGGCAGTGAGGCTGTTATCATAGACGAGGACCTGATAGTACAAGTTGGACTGGGCCTCGATAGGTCATACCTATTCGAGATAGAGACGGCTGATGGGAGAAAGCAACAGATCACTGGGGTTTGTCACAAGGCAGCCATAGAGGTCCAAGGGGTAAGAGTGACCCTGCCTGTCTTTGCAGTCAAGAACTGTAGCTCCGACCTGCTCTTGGGTCGAACGTGGCTGAGCCACGTGCATGCGGTGACGATAGAGCGATGGTCAAACATTGTCCATTAGGAAGCCAGACGGGACACGGGTGATGATTGAGACAGTGGAGCCTCGAGACACGGGTGATGGGAGCCAAACATTGTCCATTAGGAAGCCAGACGGGACACGGGTGATGATTGAGACAGTGGAGCCTTGGGACCCGAGGAACAGAGCAGCTCTCGCTGTGGGTGCAAGACCCAGTGATCAGATTAAGTCGTTACCCATCTCCGGCCGCGCGGTGCAATTTCGCGAGAAGAGATATAGACCACTGCTCACAGAGGAAGAAGGTCGGATCGTGGAGGTGGAAGATTTAGGAAGCC